TATTCTGTAAGTTTCATTCAGATCCCCCTTCATTCTCTTAAACTCTGAGTACAGATCCAGAGTCCACAACTGCACAAATATGACAAGCTTTTATCCCTAGAGTCTTTCCTGTAAACCTCCTCTGGACCTTCTCCAACGTGGCACATCCTTCCTTAGATACCGGCCCTAAAACGACTCAATATTCCAAACACGGCCTGACAGTATGTTGCTGCTTTTATATTCCACCCCTCTTGAAATGAATGCCTACATTGCATTTGGCTTCCTAACCACCAACTCAACCTGCATGCGAACTTTAAGAAAATCATGAACTAGGATTCCCAAGTCCCCTTGTGCTTTAGATTTCAGAAGTCATTCGCTTTTTAGAACATAGTCTACATCTCTATTCTTCCTACCAAAGTGCATAACCTTACATTCTCCCAAATCTTTTCCATTTACTACTTCTTTGTTCACTTGCCCAGCATGTTCAAGTCCTTGTGCAGCTTCCCGCTTCCCCAACGCTGCCTATCCATCCACTTATTTTTGTGTCATCTGGAAATTTAGCAACAATGCCTTCAGTTTTTTTTATCCAGATCGTTAACGTATCATGTGAATAGTTGTGGTCCCAGCATAGATCCCTGCAGAACTCCTCTGTCACCAGCAGCCAGCACGAAAAAGACGCCTTTATCACCACTGTCAGCCTTCTGTCCGTCAGCCAATTCTCCATCCACGCTAGTATCTTGCCCCTAACACCACAGGCTCTTACTTTATTTAACAGCTCCTGTGCAGTATCTTGTTATTGGCCTTGTGGAAATCCAAATACACCACGTCAACCAGCTCTCCTTTATCTAACTTGCTTGTTACCTCCTCAAAAGAATTCTAACAGATTTGTCAGACATGACTTCCCCTTGACGAAGCTGCGGTGACGCCGTCCTAATGTACCACGCACTTCCAAGTACTTCACAGTCTCATCCTTAATAATGGGACTCCAAAATCTCATCAATAACGGAGGTCAGGCTAACTGGCTGATATGTTCCTGTCTTCCACCTCTCTCCCTTCTTAAACAGGTGTTATATGAGCATTTTCCAGGTCTCTGGGACTCTTAACTCTACTGATTCCTGAAAGATCGCTACCAATGCCTCTACAATCTCCTCAGCTATCTCCTTCAGAGCTTTGCAATTTAGTCCATCCAGTCCAAGTGATTTATCCACCTGCAGATCTTTCAGTTTCCCCAGCACCTTCTCCTTGGTGATGGCCACCTCACTTACCTCTGGCCCCTGTCTCTCTTCAAGTTCTGGTATGCTGATAGCTTCTACTATGAAAGCCAATACAATATACCTACTCAGTTCTTCCACCATTTCTTTCTTCCCCTTTACTACTTCTCCAGTCTTATTTTCCAGCAGTCCAATGCCCACTCTTGCTGCTCTCTTACCTTTCAGAAATCCAAAACTCTTGCAATATTCTCTTATATTACTAGCTAGCTTACTCTCAGATTTCATCTTCTCCCTGTTCTTGCATTTTTAAGTTATCCTCTGCTGGTTTTTAAAGGCTTCCCACTATTCTTCAGCACATTGTATGCCTTTTCTTTTGCTTTTATGCTGTCCCTAAATTCGTTTGTCAGCCATGGTTGCCTCATCCTCCGCTTATGTTTCTTCTTCCTTGAGATGAATTTCTACTGTGCTTCCCAAATTACCCCCAGAAACCCCTGCCATTGTTGCTTCACCATCTTCCTTGCTAGGCTCCCCTTCCAATTAACTCTGGCCAGCTCCTCAATCATGTCTCTGTAGGTGCCTATACTCAATTATAATATCGTTACATCTGATTGAATCATCTTCCTCTCAAACTGCAGGGTGAATTCTATCATTTTATGGTCACCGACCCCTAGAGGCTCCTTCACCCTAATCAAGTCTACCTCATTACATATCACTAATTCCAGAACTGCCTGTTCCCAAGTGAACTCTAACACAAGCTGCTTCAATTAAAAACAAAAATCGCAGACATTCCACAAATTCCTTTTCTTGGGATCCACTACCAATCTGATTTTCCCAGTCCACCTGCATATTGAAGTCGCCCATGATGACTGTAATAATGCCTTTCTTACATGCCTTTTCTATCTCCTTATTTATTTTCTTCTCAAATCCTGATTACTACTAGGAGCCTGTACTCAACTCCCATCAGGGTCTATTTTCCTTTGCGGTTCTTCAACTCTACCCACACAGATTTTACGCCATCCGACTGTAATCACTTCTTGCTATTGATTTAATTTCATTTCTTGCTGACAAGGCAATCTTTCCCCCCCTCTGCATTTACTTGTCCTTTCGATAGGGCGTATATTCTTGAATGTTTAGTTCCCAGCCCTGATACCCTTGCAGCCACGTCTCTATTATAACACAATTGTACCTGCCAGTTTCAATCTGTGCTACAAGCTCATTTACCTTATTTTGTATACTGTGTGCATTTAAGTACAATGCCCTCAGTAGTGTTGACTGTCCCCCGCTCCCACAAAGGATACAAATAAATTTGAACAAAAAAATTATTTAAGGAATGCTTCAAAATGGTAACAGAGTGTGTGGGATTGTACAGAAATTTAAAAAGAAAAACTTTCTATAATATAACGTGCAATTTTTTTGAAATACAAATTTTGTTGAAACTTAACAGCATCTGAAGGACATTTTCTGTTGGGAATGTGCAAACTGCCAACCAACTTGTAGTGAGGGAGAAATATCACCTGACTCAAAATCACCACAAGCTGATGGTCCATTTGCAATGGTTTGTCAACTTTGTGAAAACAGCATCTGATTATTAATCCCAAGGTGGCTATGTGAATGGTTACGGGACACACCTTAATTAGGACTGAAATTGTAAAAAATACAAGACAATTCACAATGCAAGTACAATTATCCCACTATTAAAATAGTAATAAAAGCAAAATACTACAGGTGCTGCAAATCTGAAGACTCTGGAGAGTCATACTGGATTCAAAACTTTAACTCACTCTCATCACAGATCTATCAGACATTCTGCATTTCTCCAGGACCATGTTTTTATCATTAATATTTTAATGATTGCCAAATAAATAATTTTGGCACAGTATAAATGCACAGCTTCTTTTCTTTAAGTAGCACATTATTTCCACAAATGTTTAAAGCGATAAAATTTAAGAATTTACTTATTTATTTTACCTTCCGTTCTGCCCCCTTTCTCATTAATTTTTCCTGATTTTTAAATCCAATTTAAGATTGAAATTTATTTTTAGTCCTTGTTCGACTCAACACTTAAATCAAAGCAAGTAAAAGCAAAATAGTACAGGATGCTGGAAAGCTGAAATTGGGCGGCGCAGTGGCTGTGGTTAGCACTGCTGCCTCACAGCGCCAGGGGCCCGGGTTTGATTCCAACCTTGGGCGACTGTCTGTGTGGAGTTTCCACTTACTCCCCGTGTCTGTATGGGTTTCCTCCTGGTCGCTGGTTTCCTCCCACATTCCAAAGATGTGCAGGGTAGATGGATTGGCTATGCTAAATTGCCCATAGTGCCCAGGGATGTTTGGGTTAGAGATGGGAAATACAGCGGTAGGGGAATGGGTCTGAGTGAGATGCTCTTCAGAGGGGCAGGGTGGACTTGTTGGGCCAAATGGCTGTAGCGGTTCTATGAAAAACTCCACGCCTAAATCATACTGATTAAGGAGACACACATCCAGTGCTTTCTCCCATCAATGTTCAAGACTTGGGGCTGCACTGTTATAAAAATGTTTAAAAACTGAACAACTCATGCTAATGTGATATGCCATGAGATGTTGGACTTGAGAAAAATCTAGGCCAATGTGTAAAACATGTGAAATATCACTTATAAAAATTACAAGTTCATCTTTAAGCTCATGCAAAGTTATTTAGCGCAAAATTCTGCATAAAACCTCAAGAGGAAGATGCTTTTTTTTTAAAGATAAATACTTGAAGATGAAGGGCAAATGTACAAAACTTTGATTGCCAGCTATTGTGGTTATTTTCCCTCAACAATTAACAGTTTACATAACATTCAGGAATTTTTGCTATTTATGAGATAACTTTCATGTTTCATACATGTCCTTGGGTCACTTGTTCTTCCTACAAAGTTTTGCTGCTGTCTGTGATTTCACACTTGCAGCTCATTAGCAACTTTCAATAGTTTATTTTAATGGAACATTCATAACTTTGATTTCAAATTAAGATTACTGATGTCAGTAAATGAAGCAAATATCCATGTGCTTATATATAAAACAAAGTTTTCCTGCATTTGATTTAAAAAGGTTAAAAAAAAAAATCTGAATTTATATGATTGGAAGGCAAGATTGTGGTACCATAGGAATATACCAATTTGGAGCAGGCATAGCTCCAACATTCATTATGATAGCTGATCTGACTGTGCCTTCAACCCCACATTCTAATTCACCTCAGATTTTTGACTCATGAGGGAGTCAAAGGTAATCAATCTGCCTCCATCTGGAAAATATTCAATAACTCTTTCTCAGAGCGCAGTGGAAGCAGACTCATGATCCTCTATGAGAAATAATTTCTCCTGCACTCCATCTTGAATGCAAGACCTTTACATTTTTAAACAGGGTTTCCTATTTCAAGTCTGTCTCTGATGGGGAAAAATATCCTTTCAGCATTACCACTTTCACGTGTCTCAATAAGAACACTTCTTATTCTTCAAAACATGAATGGATAAGGTTCAGCCTATCCACCCTTTGCTCACAACATAACCCCCATTCCAGGTATTCATCACTTGAACTTTCTCTAAACTGTACATGATGCATTTATTTTCTCTTAAATAAAGATTCTGTAACTGTATATAGTACTTCAGATGTGGTCTCACCAATGTTCTGCAGACCTTAACCAAAACATCTCCTCTTTTGCCCTGTTCCCCTTGCAACAAATGACAACATTCCATTTATTTTCTTAATTATTTACACACAAACTTTTGTGATTCATGTGTCAGGATGCCCAGATTCCTCTGTAGCTTAGAGTTCAACAATCTTTCTGTATTTAAAATGTTTTTTAAATCATTTCTGGTAAATGACCCATTTATACCTCCCTCTTTTTTGCTAACCAGTCTTCACT